TTGAAAGCCTACATTTTATGGGAAATCAATGGGACTTAGGCTCCTAAGTCACTTATTGGTCCCTATATATATTTTAATGACCTTTTGAGGTTGTTTTAAGTTTGCTTACTGTGGATGAGGTGATTCAGCTCATTATTGCTTTTACACTCCCCAGTGCCCAAATCTGTTTTTCTGAAAGCAGTACACTCTGTGACTGGTAACAGGCAGAGTTTCTTGTTGGCTTGCATTTCCCTTTCATTTTTCTATGGTGTCTCTGTTTCTTCTGCTGTTTTCAGAGTGTGCTGTATGGTTGTTGTAAAGGAGCCATTAAAGTGAATGTTGTTTGTGGACCGTGCAATATATTTTCATTCTGCCTTGGTTAAACCATCAAGGACAACTGAAATAAGGCAGTATGCAAAATGAGGCTTTCAGACAAAGCCCTAATGGTATTGGATATATTTGTCACTGTCACCAGCTCCTGGTATGGTCTTTTGAGTGGTCTGACTGGCCCTCTTTCATTTGCCCACAGTCAGGGCAGTTCTTGGACCCTCATCTCTAATTAAGTCTAGCAGTCTGTTTCAGCCTCTTGGCTGTGTTCATGGAGGCAGCCTGGTGCAGGAGAGTTGCCTGTTTACTCTCCTAGACCCTTGTGCCTCCTTTTCTTTGTCTGTTCTCTTCTTTATAGCAGGCCTTGTTTCCTCTGTTGGCTGCAGCTGTGGGTGCCTGCCTCCATGATTGGCACCTCTGGCAGCTGTATGGGGGTGTGGTCAAGCTGTTAGCCTGTAAACAGGAGAGGATCTCCTTCCCCTTCTGTCTATGCTCGCTATGGGGTTTGTAGACCCCATTACAGTCCCATTATCTGATGCAACAAATCCAAGAGAACAACGGTAAATCAGATGACAGTTTTATCATGCAGCAACCAGCGGCATTAGAACAATTGGTAGAGTGGGGATACTGAAAGCCATTGAAGAAAACTGTAAACCCTGTATATGATAGAAACCACTTCAAGCCAGAGGGTCCTGCCATGCCCCCCAGAACCCCTAGTTCCAGCACCCCTGGCAGCAACTTAACAATGTTCCCCCGCATGCAAAGTAAGATTTTTTTTTTTATAGCTGGAACACACTTTCATTGGATGGATGAAGATGGATACAGGATTATCAGTGCAAATGTGACCTTAGTTAAGGTTGAGGTTCCATTTTGCATTTAGAGCATGGATTCAAGCTCTTTGTAATGTAAGAAAAATATAACATGTTCTTCCCAAATGTGCCACACTTGCTCTATGACTATTGAATACATTTTCTGAGAATTTACAAATAAATCTCTTAATAGGTTTGAGTTAAAATTAATTAAAACTTGTCCTTTTAAGAAATTTAATATCTATGTCTGTTATTCCTGTGTCCCAAATGATCATAATAATGGAATAACCGACTCTTCAAACTTTCGGTATAGTTAAAATTAATTCAAAAGTTATGCATACCCTATATTGGAAGAAATTAGTAATTATGCCAAGACATTAAAAACTGTTGTATCTAATTAATTGTTATATAGACTCTAGACAGGGCCAGTTCAATGGCCATTGAAATATCAGAGTGAACTCAACCAGTCATTCCCCTTCTTCTATAGCCAATTTGTATGCAATGATTCTGTTGGTTAAAATGAGTCTGTGGTGTGAGGGAGTCTGACTGGAACATGTGTCAAGAGTAGAGCTGTGTGGGAACCGGAATGTCCATACCATGGACAATTTTATATTAAAAAAAAATCATTTAAAAAAAAAGTGAAATTTTTCACAGAATGAACATTTTTGAAAAATTCTAATTTGGAAGAACCGAAACAGAATTGTTTAAAATTGTCATGCTGTGTCTCTGGCTCCTAGCCAGTTGCCCAGGAGCCCACCAACTTCCCCACCAGGCAAGTAGCCTGGGAGCTGGCCAACTGGGAACTTGGTCAGCCCAGAGAGCTGGCCAGATAGGAAGATTCATGATTATGCACTGGCTGCTTTGTATTGCTCTGGTGATGCAAAGCAGCTGTAAACCTAGTTTATCTGGCCAGTGCACTCTGTTTAGTGCTACCCTAGTGTACTGATGGAAGTGTCAGAGAGCTTATTCCTTCACTCTCAGAAAGCTTATTCCTTCACTCTCACACTTCCCTGGTCCTTCTCGCATGAACAGAGAGCAACAATACCCGAAGTCCGAAGGTGCAAACAATTCGATGTTTATTGGGGTGAACTTCCAGCAAGCTTAAATCCAAGTTCCTTTTTCCTTATTTTCGAATCCCAACTTACTTCCTGTTTGCCCCTAATTTATATAGTAATATTTTTAGCTATACCTTAACCAATCATTCTACTAAAATTTACCTAACCAATCCTAACATATTGTAACATTATTAGCTAACCAATTATATCCCACTACCTTAATTAGTTTACACCCAGCAAAATTAATTATACAGCAGACAGAAACAATTACAGAACCAGACAGAGACCATGCAAATAAACATACAAAACAATACAGAAGTGAGGATTTCACAAGTACATCTATACAGACATAAGCGTTTTCCAGCTGTGTCTATTGATAAGTGAGTTCTTACCAGACAGAAAACTATCAACCTAAGTTTCCTTTTATATCTTCTAGGCTCTTTCCTTTCTCTGGAGGTGATAGGAATATCAGGGCAGGATTGTATTCCTAACAGCCCAATAGCACCTTATTTCCATGTGACTAGTTTGGAATGTGAGGATGTGACCATACATTTCCCAGTTTATGTCTGCCTCTGCTGCTTAGCCGAAGGCCTTAGCCTAAGAACCAGGCCTCAGACTGTTACAGTGAGAGAAGGCTCTTACATATACAGAAAGTGATTTTGATTCTTTCTTTTATACCTCTATAACTAGCTAAGTGATAAGAATACACCTAAATTCTTAAAGTACAGGCCTTTACAGACAGGCCTGAATATCTATATCCTAACAGGAAGAAAAACCCTTAGATCTGCCCTTCCGCAAGTCTTGGAGGAATGGGGTCAAGAGCTCTTGGAGCTGCCTCTGTCACAGGCTTGGGGAGAGGATGATGAACCTCTTCAGCTGGAGGCGGAGCAGGGGTGTGCAGTGGAGCAAGGTGCACATGGGTGGTGGAGGGGCAGAATTTCTGTTCGGCTGGGGGCACAAAATTAATAGCAGCGGGGCTGGGGAAGTACGGAATTGATGTGGGGCTATGGGGGTGCACAATTTCATTAAGATATAGCTTGGGGCACACTCAGGTAATTAATTGGTATTTTGGGGTTCTGGGAGAAGCTGAAGGCCCTCCACTCCATCAAGCAGCACATTATATACATAATTTGTGTAACTTGATCTAAACTGAGTTCCTGCAGCTGAGGCAAACAAAATTGCCTTGCTCACTGTAAATCTGTAAGAGTTGGCAGCACTGTAATAGTCCAGGCAGGCATAAAACCCAACTCTAACATTCTTCCTACACCTGGTCATTAACCTCATTTGGGAGTTGTCCATGTTTCTATTTCTTGCTTTAACATTTCCATCTCATCTTCAAGTATCCCCAGGGCCTTCTTCAGATCCTCTTTGGAGTATTTTTCATAAGGATTGTATTCTGAGTAAGCAGTATGCTTCATATTCATATCCTGGCTAATTCCCTCTTCTGCTCCTAGTCTGTTCTCTATAAGGATGATGCAGATGGAAAAAAATGAATATTTGTAAGAATCTCTTCCTTTTTCAGATTTTATGAAAGTCTGTTACATTTAAGGGTTTTAGGGTTGTATCATATACTTCTAAAAGACTTGGGCATCTGTTTTCGCTCCATTACATGCCTTGCATCTCTAATATCCCACATATTTATGAGGAAGCAAAGAAACATGAAAATTACTATTTGAAGAGAACTGAAATGTCCACAGGAAGACATCCAGCAGCAACAAGGAAAGAGAATCTTCAGGAAAGATTTGCAGATTTTATGCTAGATAAAGGAGACTTTCCTTCACAATACAAAAGTTCAGGATTCCTTTATCAACCATAACGAATTCCTCTTCTGCATGGAGAACAAATTTTCATGTATGTTACCATACATGTCTGAAAAATAAAGTATTGTAGATACCTCTGTTTTGTGTGTTTTGTGTAGCTAAAGTAAAACTTTCAGTCTCTGTGGGATTAATGGGCTGTGCTCAATGTTTTGAAAAGTAGATTTCAGTATTAAATAGTTTATTATTTAAAAGAGAATATCTGCAAAAATTGTTTGCCATGCCACAAGCTTTACCATTGCTTCATATTTCTCAAAAAACAAATGTCTAGTTAATGTTTCTCTTCAATTTATTTTATCACATCACAACATGAACATTTGAAACATTGTGAATTTTTGTCTTCTGGATTACAGGCTGATGATTTTCTGGTTATATTCTTTCCCTAATTCTTGTTTCAATTTTGGATGATTCTTTATCAGTTGATAAGACTTTAATGTCAATATTGCAGCAGAAGGTTACATTCTGCTCTGATATTATGTCATTAATTGAAATCAAGCCTGCTTTACACAAGGAAAAATAATATACGGACTGTGTTTAATATAGCTGTTTCACACTAACAATGCATGTTTGTGCATATGCACAAATACTCATCTATTTCCACTCTTCTCAGACTGAGGTTGAAAGCCACCTTATAGAGGATTTCTTATGGAATTGCTCCACTTCCCTCAATCGTGTTTAGCTTCCTTTCCCTCCCCCTCCCCCTTCTCCCCGGCCGCCTTTTAGATACCAAGTACTTTTTTGTTCCTCTACTTCTAATTAAACTGGATTTGAACAGCTTTTGATTTATTATTTTCTAAAATGCTGTCTTCATGTGCATAAATTTGGAAACAAAAAAGAAATAAATCTGCACTGTTAGAAAATAAGTTATTTAAAATATTTTTGCATTCTTTAAATATGCAGTAAATTCATTATGTAGAAACTTAAACAAGAGAGCTTTTATTTCTGATGTTTTTTGTAAGTGTTTTGACCAGTAAACTGCTCAATGTCTACTGATTTTTTTATTATTATTGTAGGCTTATGATGAGGAGATGTATGGCAGTAAATATCAATGGATCATTCCTGGGTGGTATGAAAGTTCATGGTGGGAATCTTGGATTAATTCTTCACAGTGTCTCAGCAAAAACCTTCTTACTGCCATGGAAGGTTACATTGGAGTGGATTTTGAACCTCTCAGTTCAAAAGTGATAAAGACCATATCAGGACGGGTTAGTATCTTTCTTTCAACTACTTTGCAACATTCAAAAATATTCCTCTTATGTACATATTGTTTTGCCTGTCAATTATTTAAAATTTGATAACTACAGAAAGAGACATTGTAGGGTAGCTTTTTTAATATTTTGTGCCTTTGGGTAAATTTAGTGATCAGGAAAGAGAGGGACTAATAACTACCAACAGAAATAGTCAGAGTACAGCAAGCATTAAGCAATCCCTCATCTCTCACCCCAGATTCTCCACAACAATCGTCTTCTTCTGCCATGTTTTTGTGTAACCCTCATTCTCTTTTCTCCTCCTGCCCTCATTTTATCTCCCTTTTCTATGAGTGGACCCCTAAACAATCTCTCTTTTCCCTCAAGCCCCCGGCCCTTTCCTCATCATCTTGCAGACCTTTCCTAAGGGTCTGCTGCTTCATTTCCCTTGGAAAAGACTCTCAACAGCGCTGGGAACTTTGGAGGAGGCCCACCCCTCCAGCCCCACGATGCTGGGGATCAGGAGCGGCTCCAGGCACCAGCGCACCAAGCGCGTGCCTGGGGCGGCAAGCCGAAGGGGGCGGCCTGCCGGTCGCTGTGGGGGCTGCAGTCAGGGAGCCTTCGGCGGCATGCCTGTGGGAGGTCTGCCGGTCCCGTGGCTTCGGCGGCAATTCGGCGGCGGGTACACCGAAGGCGCGGGACCGGCGGACCTCCCGCAGGCATGCCGCCAAATCCGCATTACCGGCGGACCTCCCGCAGCCGCACCGCCAAAGGCCGCCTGACTACCGTGCTTGGGGCAGCAAAATACATAGAGCCGCCCCTGCTGGGGATGAATGTCTACGAAGCACAGGAATCCTTAGGGCTCTTAGAACCAATCTCCGGTTGCTCCACATCCTTCCTTAGGTTTCCCCAAGTTTCACCTACCATTCCCAGTCTCCTTTGTAACCAATTTATGTCCATCTCTCTGCCTCCCTTCTCCCACATTTAGATTTCCTTGTCTGGTCCACTTCCTCCTAAGTTGTCCTCTCACTTTCCTGCCCCTTTCCCAGGTCTCTCGCTGCCTCTTCCATGACTCATTTTATTTCCACCTCCCCGCTTCCCACCTTCTGGGGTATCCCTGAAGACTGTTCTTCTGGCCAAAGATTTTTTAGGGCCCAAATGAGGAGGAAATCGCTGCTGCTGGCACAGCTAGGAGGCAGCTAGCCTGCCTCCAAAGAGCAGTGCTGCTATTGAGTAGCCTTTCTCAGAAGGTGATGCTGAGTGTAGAGCACACCAGTATTACTACAGGTAACTGCAAGGCACAGAGGGCAACCAGATCCTGTGTTTTTGGTGCCCCTTACAGTGGGATGCCCTAGGAAGCACCTATTATTAGACCTAGAACTAAGGCTGCCACTAGCAATTGCCAGATTTCCAAACACTTCTTTAATCAGAGGTGCTCATGTTTTTCCATGAGTCACTTCTTGACATCGATGCTTACTGGAAAAATGTTACGTACTTTAACATTCTGATTAAACAATGTCAGTTCACTTTTTTTTAATTATCATCCTTATTATTTACTTATTTGCACTTGGATAGCAGCTGATATGATTATCCTTCTCCTCCAGTATGCTATTTTAAAACACGTAAGATATTATTTCTTCTCTTCTGCAGGGTGATATACAGATAAAATCCCTCTCCCTGTTGTCTTTGTTCTTGGATTTTCCCTACAGACAGATACACATACATACCCTTAAGGCAGTAAAGCACAAGCCTTATACAAAATCCCCACATTACAATCCACAGTACTAGATACTATGTGGGCAGACAGATCATTAGAAACCTTTTTTGCTATCTCCTTCCTTAGCTGTATATATTATTTATACTCGGTAAACCCTGATCCTACAAATTGTTAACCTTACTAGATCTCTGTGACTCACAGGATTGGATGCACCCCAGATTTTAGATAGATAAATATGCAGAATGCCAGCTTATCACATAACCACGTGTATGATTTTTGAAGGTTCTTTGTCTTTTCAAGATGTTCTTTATAACACTTTCGGCTTGTCTACACTACCCGCCGGATCAGACATGATAAATTGACCGCTGAGCACTCTCCCATCGACTCTGGTACTCCACCAGAACGAGAAGCGCAAGCGGAGTCGACGGGAGAGTGTCAGCTGTCGACTTACCGTAGTGAAGACACCGCGGTAAGTAGATCTAAGTACGTCGACTTCAGCTATGCTATTCATGTAGCTGAAGTTGCATATCTTAAATCGACCCCGTGTGGTAGTGTAGACAGGCCCATAAAATGTGTTGTGTGTATTCTGTATTCTGTGTTGTTTCTGTATAAAATATAATGCATGAAGTCCCAGCCCATGAATAAATGGGCCTGATTCTCCACTGCTCTGCCCTCATGTGGTCATTCACACCTGTGCAGATTGAGTGCAAAATGCTACCATTCTGGAACTCATTGCAACAAGCTATTACTCAGGTCAAGAGCTTAGCAAGATTCTGAAATAAAACAATAATAACAACAAAACCCTAGACACTTTTGTGATTTTAAAAAAAATCACTTACATTAGGAAAAAATGATGAGGTTATAAAACCTCACTTCAGGGCATACCCCAACCTCTGTGACAGAGATCAGGAAGAATCTTCCCCTTTGGTAATTCTATGGATCACCAGCTTGCAACTCAGGATGCTGGATGCGTTGGAACAGCAGACTGATGTATGAAAGTAAAATTACTTAAAATGGGTGCTTCTTACATACACAGCCTGTGCAATACATATTCATCTCTTTCTAGGCTCTTTCCCTCCACCTCCCACCATCACTCTTGAAATTAATAAGAATGCATGATCTCATGGGATTTTAACTCTTTCCTAGCGCTTGCCTTAAAAATCTTTTCTATATCAATGGGACACTTAAAAAATGAAGGTTCAGGACCCAAAATCTGTGAAGTCCTGAGCTATGTCGTGAAGTTTTATTTCCTTCTCCACAGACGCCACAGCAGTATGAAAAGGAGTATAATGACAAACGGGGAGATGGACAGTCCAGTAAATTTCATGGTTATGCCTACGATGGAATATGGGTGATTGCCAAAACACTGCAGCGGGCAATGAAATATCTCAACACTACAAACAAACACCAAAAAATTGAGGATTTTAACTACACAAACCACAAACTTGGCAAAATATTTCTGGATGCTATGAATGAAACCAACTTCTTTGGTGTAACGGTAAGTCCTAACCTGCTCTTATTCACTATATTTTTAAGTCAGTATCTAAAGTATTCACATTACATTTTTTAAATAGTTGAAAATAAAGGGAGGTGTGTATGTGCAATTCTTGTGTTTTGGGAGGTTTCTGTCCTCCTTACTTACTGAATTGTACGTGGGCCAGATCTTCTTTGTACCACTTCAGCAGAGCACGGAAGCATGTGCTTAGCTGAATCGGGCTCCTGGTGCACTGTGGCAGCTTTGTGCGTCATTGCTGTCAGATACAGGCTGTAGAGGTAGCACTCTGGCCCCAGGAGGACCGCTCCAAAGAAAGAGGAATCCTCTGCTGCTGAGAATCTGATCCATGATGCATTATCTATGTTTGATATGTAACTAAGCATTCAAGCATTCAAGTGCTTCTGGTTTTGTGCCAATTTCTTCTTATAGAAAATATATGTCTTAGTGTGGTACACAGTGTGATTCATATATGATAACTCTGTTTCCCTTCCTAGTCAAAGGTGAAATAGGTGTTGATAAAGAGCAGCTACATCAATGTTTTGGAAAATCCACACACATACACGTCAGTATGTTAGGATATGCACCATGAGGTATTAAAGGAAGTAGCCAAGAACTTAGGCCCAAGTCCTGCAAGCTGCTTCACTTGTGAGTAGTGGTGCCCTGGCGCTGAGTAGTTTGTACCTTATGGACTTAACTGATCTATCGACCATATTGGAAACCTAATGAAAACCAGGGAGCTTGTGAAAGATTGGAGAAAAGTACATGTAGTGTTGATCTTGGGAGTGTGCGGGTTAAAATGGGGAAGCAGCAAGAGAAGTACTCAACTTGAGTTCCATCTCTGCATCTGTGTGCAGAGTTACTACCAAAATCTAACTTTCATGTCTTGTCTTGTAAAATAATGAAACAACTACAGTATCAAGAGAAAGATTCCTAAACTTTTAGAGAATATCAAAAGCATTAATCTGTAAAATCAATCCCACACAAATTTGATATATTTATTTTAGAATTACAAAATTAGTGAGTGTAATGGTCAAAATCCTCAGATGATGATGCCGCCTTATGGCTCCTTGATCCTTGGGCTGCCAGATACCAGTATAGTCTTGAGAAACAAGGGTCTGTAAGTTGTACAAGCTGCAATAGACCCTAGGTGGCAATTTTAGCAGCTAGAGATTGATGAAATGCTGGGGTGTTCTTGTAACACTTTCTTTTCCCCACTACATGCTTTACATCAGATAGCTGAGAGGTGGGGGTAAGGGGCAGGAGACAGCGGTGTGGTGCTAGCTACACCAGTCTTTCACTACTCAGGAATTTCCCCAGGTAACCATTTCAACCACCTTTAAGACTGCTTTACATTATTGGAGCAGCACAAAGCATCTTTGGTGGGACCAAGGATCTAGCCCAATATATCTACAGCCAAATTCTGTTCTCAGTTATACCCCTTTAAATCTGTAGTAACTCTTTTGATTTCAGGGAAACGGCTTCAGGCTTTTAGGAGTGTAAATCAGATCAGAATATGGACCTTAAGTTTTCAGAAGTCATTTGATAGTGTGTCTCGCAAACTGTCAGATGTACATTAAAAGTACAGCTCCGTTCAGAGTTGATACAGAGCTGTACTCTCCAGGGGGATCTCTGGGAGATACTCTGCCTCAGAATGAATGCCTTCCAGAGCTCCACAACATGCCTGGGGAGAGAGCCTGCCACTACACTCACCTGGGCAAGCTGCATGCTTGCTGATTAGCACCTGTAATGCTAAGTGAGTAGATATGGAATCGGGACTTAAGATAATGTGGATTGCTGGTGTGGCATGGAGGTAGCAGTCCCTGCACTTATCTGAACACAGGGACTTCACATTTCATGTGGTTTTGAATAGAACACATAGAAGATGGGAAGGCTCCTTGGCTGGTCCCTGGTAATCTGTACAGCTACGTAACAACCTGTCACAGCCTGGGCACAAATTAATTCTGATAATTTTAGATAATAACTCATCACTTGAATTCAAAACAGGTTAATTACCCAGGTAAACAAAGGGTAATCATATATGGCAAAAAATGATGTTGGGGGAAGTGTCTAGTTGCCCACACCAACAGTCAGTGGCAGGATTGGTTTTATTTAATGTCATCATTAAGTATTGTAGCATTATGATAGATTCCATTTTGGAAATACTTATGTTACAATAAAACTGTTCAAGGAATATTATTTAGGCTACAATGTAAAAGAAAAACATTCATGTTTGGATATGATAGAATTTACAATTGCCCATGCAAATTTAATTCTGACGCTTACTCATTCTTGTTCACTGAATGAGGCAGGGGTCTGGTGGGAAAAAAAATGTGATAATTTAATTAAAGGTGGTATCATAATACATATGCTGAAGAGGGCTGAATTAATATTGTACAGAAAACTGAAAATCAGATTTCTTAACGTTCCGGTATTTGATTTTGAAATGGTGCTTTTTTAACAAAGGTTTTTGTACATAATTGCTTACTTTTTAAAAGAAAATACAATTTTCTTTGATATTCAACTGTAACTATCATCAGCAGGGTTTGAACCCTGCACCTCTTGTATTGTAACACAAATTACTATCACATAAGTTGTAGAACAAGGAAGGGTAAGTGATAATAGGAGAAAGCTGCTAATCCAGCAAAGCGATTGACCATGAGGTACAAGTACTGCTTCCAGGGGATATCTGGAGGATTGCCTACCTCTCTCTTCACCCACTTAGCCCAGAGTTAGGGAAGCTGCTGTTTCATGGGGCACCCCCTGAAAGGTGTGGGGAACAGGCTCCTGGGGCCATGTATTGCCATTTGGAGGTGATTGTGGGGTCACGTTGTCTCACTTCCTGTCCCTCCCCTGCAAAAGTGTTGTGGGAGCTCTGGCTCTGTTTGGTTGCATGAAGGATTTAAAGAGGGTAATGGCTTCATGGATCAGTTTGGGGAAGTGTTGCAAGCATAAGAGTCAGCAAGGAAGAGGGCACAAGAGCACTTCGGGGGGAGGAGATAAATAGAGAGGGGCAGAGCTAGGGACGGCCCTTAAGGATGAGGGCAAGACGCTTGAATTTAATGTAGTGAATTCAAGGCATCCAAAGAGGAAGTTGATTTAATCGGTCCAGGAAGGTGATCGTAGCAGCTGTATTTTTAATAGACAATGTGGGTCAGGGAGGCCAGAGAAGAGAATATTGCAGGAGCCTAGACAAGAAATCATGAGAGCCTAGATGAGAATTTTAGTTGATAGAAAAGGCCAGATCCCAGAGTTGTTACAATGGAAAAAAGCAGCAAGATATGGACATGGCTTAGATGTGTGACGCACATTATTGTTGACGCTTGTGATTTTATCATAAATCTCACAATATTTGGCATTTCACTTAAAGCCCAGCTTCTGTAGCCAGGTGATTACATGAGACTCACATAAGAATGGCCATACTGGGTCAGACCAATGGTCCATCTAGCCCAGTATCCTGTCTTCTGACACTGGCCACTGCCTGATGCTTCAGAGGGAAAGAACAAAACAGGGCAATTATCTAGTGATCCATACCCTGTCGTCCAGTCCCAGCACCTGGCTGTCAGAGGCTCAGGGACACCCAGAACATGGGGTTGCCTCTCTGACCAGCTTGGCCAATAGCCACTGATGGATCTATCCTCCATGAACTTATCCAATCCTTTTTTGAACCCAGTTATAAATTTAAATTATCTCAATTTTTGTTTAAAATGTAGGTAAGTTTCTAACACTCATGGAGAAAAACTTGTAAACATTATCGCTAAAAAGTTCAAAAGCCAAAAAATGAATACAAAGAACCCAACATTTATTATATGTTAAAATCTCATGATTTTAAGTCAATCTCATGATATTTTGGAGGCCAGACATAATTTTTGAATGCTTGGGGTTGACAATACTGAGTCCAGAAGTGAAGTGAGAGTCAGAGGCAACAGCCAGGTGCTGGGGTGCAATCGTGATGGTGATGATGAGACATCTAGGAGGATATGTCAGAGAGCCAGATCTACATGTGGGATGCACAGAGATGTCTCAAGTCTATGAACCTATGACAAAAATATAGAAGTTCTAGTAATTGAGCATTTTCTCAATACCTCAGGAGCAGATCAGGGCCCATCCTGTCACCGGCACAAGGGAGTAGACTTCAACTCTGCATGACTAATGCTCAATAGCCCCCCCCCCTTTGAGTGGATGGAGCTCTATCTCCCCCCAAAACACCTGGTGGCATGTCAGTGGTTCTGCAATGTAGCCCTGTTGCACCTGGTCACCCTGCACCTCCCCAGAGCAGCAGGGTGACCAGGAGTGAGACTGTGGTTCCCTGAGTTGCATTTTCCCTCCTGGGATGCTCCTGGGGCAGTGACCCCTTACTAAGGGTTAGATCACAAAGTGAATATCAGGCCCTTTGTTTTTCCTTTCCCTCTTTTCCATGTCCACCTCTTGTTTAATCTTGACAGCACATCATGGTAAAAATGATAGATTTTATTACCACAGTCTTGGTTGTGAAGGGAAAGTATTTAATCTGAGATGAAGAAGCATGACATTTTAATTTTTAAACTATTCTCAGAGGAGACATGAAAAGTGAAAACTCATCTATGAACTATGTTTCTTTGAGAGGGGAAAGAGACAATGTTTCATCATCAGCCAGGTTGAGCATTTATGTGATTTTTATATTAATTATGTCTTATCCACGTGTGATTAATATTGTTGCTTTATAATATTTTTGTAGTATGTTAAATTATTGTTCAATGTGATGAGTACCTTGGTCAGGGCAATTTGCGTAGTATAATTAAGTTATTATTTTTATCAAAACAGCACCTATTCCCTAAGGCAATACCAACTAAAATTATCAATTAGAGGCCAAGGTACTTTTTAGTCTGGTATTTTGATCAACAACCTTAATGTTATCTTTTGTTACATATAAAATGTACATTTTTTGTTTAGTCCAGGTTTTTATCAGTAGTATATTAAACTGCCATAGAAAAAGATTTCAATATAGCAAAAATCATGGGATTCTA